CCGGGTCAGTCCCGAGCCGGGACAGAGGCAGCTGCGGGCTCGGAATGTGTTTGTTTGTCCTCGCTCTTCCCACCGAGGAGCACTTGGATGTCCGCTGGAGCTGTTGTAACCAGCGTGCAGGAGCATTTTAAGTCATGTAGAGGCGCACAGGGAGCAGGGCTTGGTCAGTTACGGCTGAAGGAGGTGGCTGACAGCTACTAGACAGGTGGGAAGGATGGTTTGGATTCTTTTGTTTTTATTTTCTCTGCTCTGTAACGAGCCCTAAATCTTGCTGTCTGTGACCGCAGATGGCGGGCGAGAAGGCGCCGGAGAAGAAGCCAGCTGAGAAGAAGAAGCCGGCCAAGAAGAAGGCAGGGGAGAAGAAGCCGGCGGAGCAGAAGCCGAGCCAGAAAGCAGCAGGGGACAAGAAGAAGAGGGTGAAGAAGTACCATGCCAGCCGTAACCCCGTCCTGGCCCGCGGCATCGGGAGGTATTCCCGCTCAGTCATGTACGCCAGGAAAGCCATGTACAAGCGCAAGTACACGGCTCCAGAGACAAAGGTAGGGGGGGAAGCACTGGGGGAACAGACACGTTTGTGTTTTGGTTTGAAATGTGCTGAGTTCTCCTTGTTCTTTGCACACAGATAGAGAAGAAGAAGAAGGAAATGCCCCGTGCCACCATCACTAAGCCAGTGGGTGGAGACAAGAATGGAGGCAGCCGGGTGGTTAAAATCCGAAAAATGGTATGGAAAAGCACCGGGATGCTCGTGGTTTGGTCCAGGCTGGGTGATGAAGGAGCCTCAGTCTGTACAGACCCAGCATTCTTGGGAAATGATGGGAATTTAGGTGGGAATTCTCTGTCTTGTGGGTTGCTGTGCTGAGGTGGAAGCACTCTTAAATACAGAGCTGGACACGAAATATTCCAAAGCATTCCATGTGTTCCCAAGCACTGTCTGCAGCAGAAATCCTTCAGAAAGCTGATTTTAGGGAAACGGGGACAGCCTTTTTGAGGAGCTGCTGTCCTGTGAGACGCAGGTGGTACAAGATGTTTGTCCTCTGTTCCCAGCCCAGGTATTACCCCACGGAGGACGTTCCCCGGAAGCTGCTGAGCCACGGCAAGAAGCCGTTCTGCGAGCACAAGCGGCGCCTGCGGGCGTCCATCACCCCCGGCACGGTGCTGATCCTGCTCACCGGCCGGCACCGCGGCAAGGTGGGCACAGCTCCTGGCATGAGCGTTTGGCGGAGTTTCAGACATCCTGAATTTCCTAGCTGATTTCATCTGATCCACTGGGTGTAAATCAGTGACTTGTGGCTGGATGCTTTCCTTGTCCAGCCTTAAGGGGAGGCAGAGGTGAAATAAATGTTAAAGTGAGGTTGTTGTGCACAGAGAAAGTAAAACAGGTTCAGCCAGTTGCTTGGACAAAATGCAAGGAGTCTTGCTGCAGTACAGAGCCAGTGCCTGTTTCTGTTGCTGCTCCTGCAGAGACAAAACTTTATCCTACAGCAGTACTGCAAATGAAAAATTAAAGTTTTGTTCTTAATTTGATTATCAGGGATTATTGTATTGGGTTCTCTGTCCTCAGGATGGTCACCAACACAACTGGCATCCTTTTATTTCTTGAATTCTCTTGTTTTTATGTCCTTGATTCCATAAAGAGTGCTGTCAGAGAAGGAAACCTTGACCAGAAGGAAGAAAACACAACAGGGGGATGGCTCTTTGTCAAGTTATGGGGTCCTTGTGGTGTTTATCCAATTCCTGCCTATAACCCATACAAAGGATTATTTGGGTGCAGAGATGGCTGTTGGCATCCTGTAGGATGAGGGAAGAGTGAAAATGGAGTTACTGGCTTTGCTCAGCCTTGAGAGATAAAGCTCATGGAGAGTCAAACTCTGTTGTGGCACAGCTGCCCCACACCTGGAGCACTGTCAGTGCTTGTGCCAGTAACAGAGGCACAATCCCAGTTTGGCTGTGGTCTGGGAGCACTGGGACCTGAGGATTGATGTGCCATCTCATTTCTTTACAGCGTGTTGTGTTCCTGAAGCAGCTTGATACTGGCCTTCTGCTTGTTACAGGTAAAATTTTTTGTTTAAACATGGTATTTTTGGACAAAGTGGTGATCAGTCAAAAGTTGGACTTGATGGTCTTGGAGAGCTTTTCCAACTTTAATGATTATGTCATTTGTGAGTGCAGGGAGGTGGAGGGGAGATAATTAAGCTTCAGGGTCTGATCACCTGGAAGAGTTCAGGAAGGAGATTTTTGTATTTCTAGAGGGCTTTGTCTGTTGAGATTTTAGCTGTGGCCATCACATGGACTATAAAAATTCAGCTTCAAGGCAGTGGTTTTCACCAGAAAAGCTAACCCTGTTTTCTCTTGTCTTCTCTGCCTTCAGGCCCCCTGGCTGTCAACCGTGTCCCCCTGCGCAGGGCCCACCAGAAATTTGTAATTGCCACATCCACAAAGGTGGATCTCACTGGGGTGAAAATTCCCAAGCATCTCACTGATTCCTACTTCAAGAAGAAGAGGCTGCGGAAGCCCAAGCACCAAGAAGGAGAGATCTTTGACACTGAGAAAGAAGTAAGGGACAGGGCGGTTCCTTCTTTCTCAGTGCTCCAGGATAGGCTGGAAAGGGGGAATTAGCAGGAAAAAAACAGGTAGATTTTAAGCAGTCATTAATAAAGTGAGGTGATTCCACTAAAATGAGGTAACCTCCCTTTTAAGTGTGGGGATTTTTCTCAGAGGAGAAAGAGTTATTATTCCAGTTAAATGTCTTTTTTGACCAAGGAATGCTTTCTCTGTGTTGGCTTCAGTGCTCCACTACGTTCCCATTATTGAGAACAAATAGAGGAAAGATTTCTTAAAAATCCCAAAACTCAGGGTTTGCTGTGAATTTTCTCCTCTCCCTGAAGGATTCTGCAGTTGCTCCCAGGATTTTAACGCCGTTCTTTGTGCTTTGCAGAAATACGAGCTGACGGAGCAGCGCAAGACAGACCAGAAGGCCGTGGATTCCCAGATCCTGGCACGGATCAGGAAGGTGCCTCAGCTCCGAGGGTACCTGCGCTCCACATTCTCTCTCTCAAATGGAGTTTATCCTCACAAATTGGTGTTCTGAGCCTTCTGGAAGCACCACATTAAACTCCAAGGGAAAAAAAAGCAGCGAGGGTTTGTGGTGTGTTCATTACAGTTTGTAACAGCAGGTGTTGCACGGCTCTTGCAGTGCTTGTTGCTGTGGGGTGAAACTCTGAGGGGCTGTAGGTAGTGACCAGAATTTGGAGTGTACAAAGTTTGGGGTGTAGGAGTTTTGGCTGTTCGAGTTTTGTGGTGGTTGTTGGATTTCTTTAAACTATTTTCAACATAAACAGGAATTCAGCTTTCTTAACTATGAGCGAGCTGGGAAGGGATCCTGAACATATTTTGCTTTGGGAATAGCAGCTAATGCTGGGCTGACACAGTGCAGGATAAAATATTTCTGTGCTGAACCTCAGCAAATAAATAACTTTATGGAGGTATTTCAGGAGCTATGCTTTGATTTTGAAGTGGAAATAGTCCACAGTTTTGCAGGATAAAAGTGTCTGAAAATGAGTGGAGAAGGTCAGTGCAGTGTTGAACGCAGCAGAAATCAATGCTCTTACACAAAGCAGGGATGTACAGTTCACCAAGTCTGGCACTCTGGAGCTCTTCCTTAGCCAGACTTCTGCAGGAATCCAGGTTTATGTAACTGCACCATCTGTCTGCCCAGTAATTCTGAGCTGAGGTAGCCAGCAGGGTTAGACTTGACAAGAAATGGAGATCTCATCAAATTCATCAGGCTCAATGAAAATGGGATAGGAAAGAGCAATACAACCCTCCCTGAGGTGGAAGCCATGCTCAGTGGGAAGGAGGAATTGGGCTTGGAGTGCTCCAGAGGCAGTGCAAGAACTTGGACACCTGTGGAGTACCTGGTTTGCACCAAGAGGCCAAACTTGGTGCTGGTGGGTGTTAAAAGTGTCTGGAAGCGAAAGCACTGCGTGCTGCCACCATCCTCCTGTTGATAATCAACAGGCTGGGAGAGCTGAGGGGTGTCAGCCTGGAGAAGGGAAGGCTCCAGGGAGACCTTAAAGCCCTTTGCAGTGCCTGAGAGGCTCCAGGAGAGCTGGAAAGGCACTTGGGACAAGGCCTGGAGTGACAGGACACAAGGCAGGGATAGATGGGATATTGGGAAGGAATTGTTTCTTGTGAGGGTGGGGAGGCCCCTGGATCCCTGGAAGTGTCCAAGGACAGGTCTTGGAGCAGCCTGGGATAGTGGAAGTGGCAGGGGTTGGAACAGGATGAGCTTTAAGATCCCTTCCAAGCCAAACCAGCCTGGAATTCTCTCTGAAGTATCAGTGAGGCTCAGCAGAGGGAGGCAGTGAGCTGGCAGTGTCCAGTGCAGAATTCCTGGCCTGGCTGGGAGGGATCTCTTGCTCTGTGCTGTGTTCTGCCCCATGTTCTTTATTTTCCCTGCCACTGGAGTTTTGTCTGTGGTTGGTTACATCCTCTCCAGTGTGTGGTTTACTGGATAATGGGATTAGACAGAGATTTTTAAGTTAAAGGGAGATTTTTCCTGCAGTTCTGAGAATGGCCTGTTGACATAAATGGGCTCTAAAAAGATAACAGAAGGGTTGTACACATCTCCCTGCTACTTCTAAGGTAGCTCTAAGAAAAACCTTAACCAAATATGCTTAGAAAGAAAGATCACTTAAATTAAAAATGGTGTGTGGGAACAGTGAAATGGGGAAAGCCCCATGCAGCAAGGAGAATCAGAAGAGTATGAACATGTCTATTGCAGTCTGCAACCCCAAATTCAGTCACACACTTGTGCTCTTGAGGGAAAACTGCAAGAGGTATTAATGCTCCAGTCATTCCCTTCCCTCTGGGAATGGGGAAATTGCAGTAATGAAATAGCCCCAAAACCATTTGGGTGTGAAAATCCAACTGTGTTCTCTGGAATTCTGGTTGCTCTGACACATTCCTGCTTTGTGTTTGCTAGGGAGGCTTTGTCTGCCAGGAAGTGATTTGGAAATGGGAGTTGGTTATCAACAGATGCTGGTCTGGAGCCGTGGCCTCACGTGCTGGCATTGCCCCGTTCCTGTCACCTGTGTGAGAGGTGGTGACAGGAACACATCCTGCAAGGGAGGGAGGGATCTTTCTGCTTTCAATCCCTGAGCTGAGTCACTGGCCCAGCTGGATGCCAGTGTCACACCAAGGGATGTGGGAGCAGGAGAAATTGGAACACCGAATCCTGCCTTCCCGAGGCCGAGCAGCTCCTCAGGCTTTGCTGCAGGAAATGGAGATGGAAAAACCCTTGTATTCCATAAGGAGAGGCACCAGTGATCAGCTGTGATGTGTCTGTCTCCAGCCTCCCAAATATTTTCCCTGAGTTCTGTGAAATCTGCCTTCTTTCTGAGAAGCTGCAGGGTGAGGGAGGGAAAACAGGAAAAATGCGGCCTGTGCAGGTGACCAGCACAGAGGGGGGGTTTTTAATCCGGATAATGCTGGCCCCTACCTGAGCACAACTTGCAGCACATAAAGAGCCTTTGTGTGTGTTCTGGCTGTCCCCAGCATTTCCCATTCCATGTGAACAGTTCTGCAGCTGGGCTCGCTGAGTCACTGCTTTTTCCTGGGCAGCCCCCACAGAAGAAGCCAGAGACATCCAAAGCCTCCATCACCCAATGAAAAGTGCTGGAGATGTGCAGCTCCAAAAATAGTGACAGCCTCAACCACAGCAGCACTTCATTAGCATCAAATGTGCTCTTTGCTTCAGCTGCCTAATAAAGTGATATGTAATTATAATAAAGCATCCTTTGGAGAGGAAAGAGAGGGATGTTGGCTTTCCCAGGGAATTGATAATAAGATGTGATGCCTTGTTATCTCCAGGCACTTATTTTTTACCTGTCAGCTGTGCAGTGACCTGGTGGCTGCAGTTCCAGCCCAGTGAGGCTCTGTCCAGCTGCCACAGCTGAGAGTGGGCTCAGACACACAGCCACTGCCCTTGCCTCTGGAATTAGAATCCCATGAACGGGACCAGGATCCTCAGGAGAAACTGAGGCTGATCTGCAAGACAAAGTCCTTTCCAGTGCCAGGTTTGTAGAGAACAGTTACCTGTGGCATTTCAGCCGTGCCTCTCTTGGGTTTAACTTTAATTAAGAGAGGATGTTCTGGCTGGAGTGTGAAGGTGCTTCCATGGGATTCCCACACCTTTTGGGCCAAGAGGTGAGGAAAATTTGCCAAATTCCCAGATGCCCAGGGACTGGCTGCTCAGTTTACCTGTGCTTAAGATGTGCCTTGTCATTAAGGAGAGGCTGAATCTTTTCCTGCTCATGTATTTCCATCTGAACCTGCCCTCCCTCCCCTCAGAGTTCAGAACTGTTGCAAAGAAATTCACTGTGGATGTCCCCATGAGCTCAATAAAGAATAAATAAATGCCAATCCTATGGATACACCATAAAGAGCTCCTGCTCCTGTCCTGGTTTGGGAAGAGGAACTGAAGTTCCCAGCCACTATTTACCTGTTAATTGGATTTCTCCAGTTCTCCTGCATTGCAGTCTGCACTGAGTGTCTGACAACTCATTGCTTAAGCAATTAGAGCAATTAAATCATTTTTATAAGGATCTTATTCATAATAGTCCTTGCTATGTTTTGTTCTGGAAGCCACTGGTTGAGCAAAGCCAGGCAGTGCCTGAGTCACTGCAGAGGGTGGGTCTGGGATGGTTGCATGTGGAATTTGACACGGGTGCTACGCAGCAACCAGGACATTTTTCATTATTTAGTTACTTTTTAATTATTTCTTTGTTTTTGGGGTGTTTAGATCAAAGCAATCTTAACCCTCTCCCAGATATCAGTCAAAAAAAGCCCCATTTTTGTCAGCTAGCTGGCTTTTTTTGATCACTTTATCTATTTTTCCCCCCTCCATTATTTCAGTGTTTATCTCAGGGGAAATGACTTTACATGATGGATTGCACACAGAGCCAGCCTCTTCTCTGACCTAAGCATGGTTCACACTCCATCCGACATAAACACTTATTAGTTGTAATAGGGATGAGGAGAGAGGAAGCACAGTAGTCAAAATAGGACTGGAGATGAAAGAAATTCAATGGTTTTTTCCTCAGCAATATTGATTTTCTGTGTGATCCTGAGCAAGTCACTTATTTTCAGAGAGGTCTGTGCTCACATACTGCAGAAAGCAGAAATACTTTCTCATGTCTGGTCTCAAGAAGTGTTTCCAACTTCAGAAAATGGAAAATTTATGTCCATTTTCTGAAGTACATAAAAGAATAAGCAGTCTCTGCTTGGCTGACACTGAGAGGACCTGATCCATTAATCTGATCTTGTTCTATGAGATCATATCAACATTTCAGACTAAAAAATACAAAAGTTGTGCTGTGTCGAAGACTGGCACAGGTGTCACAAAGAATAAATGTTCTCATAGTCCTATTTATCAGTTTTAATGTCATTTTTTTGCAGAATTTAGGCTGTTTTATTTGTACAGGGCAGCAGAGCTCAACAACTCAGACTCTGGAGCCATTGGGTGTTTCTGCAGTTGCCCAATTAGCAGTTCCTGGTGCTTTGCCTGCAGATTGGTTTTAATGATGATCATAATCTCATATTTTACATCTGCTGAGCACTTTGGCCTCATGTAAACCAGCACAGGTCAAAAACTGCCATGAAAACATCAAGAAACCACACAAAGGTAAAATGATTTCTCCAATCCATTGGAACAAGCCAGTGGGATGCAGAGAACCACCCCAAGGAGCACAAGGAAAAAAAATCTCATGGAGAAAATAAAGATTAAACCATAAGCAATTCCATCTTCATTTGTTTTGTCTGTCCTAGTGGATGTAGAGGTTTTCCACTGGCCTGACAGATGCCTCAGGATGTAATTGTTTTTAAAATTAAGGCTTTCAAGTATCACCATGTGCTGTACATGGGATCCTATTGTTCAAAATGGCTATTTTGACAAGAGGAAATAAAACCCAAAGCAAGATGTACAAAAGCAGTCCTGGGTTCACAAGGGAGGAAGGGCATTTTTCAGAATAAGGCTCTAAAAAGAGCGATGCACCCTCAAAATGATGGCACCATTCAAATTTCTAGTGAGAGTGTCCTGCTGAGCTGAAAGGAAAATCTCTTTTGTAGAATTTCATAGAAATTGGTGGGGAACCAGAGTTCTTCCTTCGAGAAAATACAAAAACACTGAACAAATGTCCCTGTGGAATCAGGGGACTGAAAGCACAGCAGCTCCTGCTCAAAGGAGAGGCAAATGGCAGAGCTCCTGTGCGCTGCACATCGTCCACACGGCTTCCCTGGGGCCTGACAAAGTGCAAAAAGGCCACTGGAAACCTGGAGCTTTGTGTTTGTGGAAGAGAAAAAAGCCAAACACATGCCCAGAGCAGGGGCACAGAGGGAGAAAAAGGAAAACTGCCTTTTGAGGCTGCTGATGCAAGAGAAACTTCGAGAGGGTTGGAGTTTTTTTGTTCAAATCCTGGCTTCAGTTGAAGCACTGAGCATAAAAATGTGTGGTTTATTTAATTCAACACTCCAGGAAAGACTTGCCTGCTTTGTAATTAAACAGAACTTCATCAAGGCAATGTCTCACATCATTCTGTAGCTGCCTTCTAACACAGACAACCCATTAATCCCCAAACTGCCTGACAGCTTGAATAAAAAATAGAATTAAAATAATACAAATAACAGCACAAATTGTGTGGTTTGGGCTCCCTTGAAATAACTGCTGATTTCACAAGTGCCTGAGAAGGGTGTCCCAGTGTGAGCCAGGCAGTGCAGCTGCTCTTGAGGATTTATAATTCTCATTAGAATTTCTATCACTCTTCCCATCCTGTCACCCTGAGCTTCAACTTCTCACGTCATTCAATTGCCACCACCCCAAGCCTGGGCAGACTGGGTAATCAAGACTAAAAAATGGCTTTTTGATGTGCTTGTCAGGCCCAATCAAGAGGCACATGGTAACAGAATGGAACCCAGCACACAAAATGTGGTCCCTGTGCTGCAGGAGGAGGGCTGGGCTGGTGTCACCTGTCTGGGAAAAGAAAATCTCACGAAGGGGGTGATGCTGGTGGCTTTGGATGATTGTCAGCACTGCTCTGGTTCTTCTGTTGATTAATTGATTGTTTGTGGGGTTATTTTAGTTGAAGTTTAGTTCTTCTTGGTTCTCTGTAGGCTGCTTGTGATGTTCTTTTTAAAGAAACACTGTGTTGTTGTTAAGCATGAAGTGAAGGTTTATAAAACAATTCCTATTCCCTGTGAGGACCAGGATTTTATAAGCACAGGACATTCCAGTGCAGCACCACAAACTCACCTCTACCACATCACAAATGAAGAAATTCTCCTGCCTGTAGCAGCATGAAAAGATTTTCAACCATCCTGGCTTCACCCAGGGGCCAGTCCAGCCCAAATGTGGAGTGATGAATTATTTGGCCTTTCCTGGTTTGTGCCATCTGGCTGGAAGAAAAATAGGGAAAAATATGTGAGTCAGAGAGAGCATAAGAGGGCTGCACCTCTCACATAAATCAGCAGCATCCCAAACCACAGCACACATCTCCAGCCTCTTCTGTTTGTTTCCCTCATATTTACATCCTGTCAACTTGCTCAGTCGCTGGGACTTCATTGTATAATAGTTATTACTCTTCTTTTAAAAGCAGATTCTTGGCTGGAAATAGAGAAAAGAGACCCTGGAAAGAGCAAGAGAAATGCTGCAAGAAAGAAAGGAAAGGGAGGAAGGCTCCATGGGAGGAACACCTTTGGAGATGGGGGCACTTAGAGCTGCAAGACAGCACCACACAGAGAGCAAAATTGTTCTTCCCAGAGGAAAACCATTCCACTTATTCCACTTTGCACAGCTTGGCTTCAGTTCTCAATTAGTGGCTTTCAGTTTTAGCTTTGTTTTGAATGCCTGTCAGCACTGAAGAGAAAATCAGTGCAGACTAACATTTGCTCAGGCCAGGGATTCACTGCCCTGCCTTCCTTTGTCAGGAAAATGGTTGGTAGTGCTGCAATGCCAGTGCAAACCTGCTAATTAGGAATTCACACTCTTGGATCTGATTTATGAATTGCAAGTAAAAGACAAAGATGATGAAAGTTCAAACACCACCTCATTTAAAATCCTCATTTAAAATCCTGTTTTCCCTCTTTTCTTTGGTGTCCTGTTGGTTCAGACTCTCCAGGGACACCTTCCACTATCCCAGTTTGCTCCAAGCCCTCTTCAATCTGGCCCTGGACAAGGAAATTGTCACAAAATGTACTTTTCCCCCTGGAATGTTACATTGCAAATGTCAGCATTTCAGCTTTTTATTCTGATTACGGTTGAACATTTTTAATAAATATTCTGTGAAGCTCTGCCCAGATCTCAGCTTTGACCAATGTGTGCATGGAGCTGTCTGGGTAGGGAGAGAGAACTTTTCCAGGGATATCAGTTCTGGAATTTGGCCATTACAGCTCTCGTTCAGGGTGAAGTAACAGGAATTTATCCCGTGTTTGAACCAATCCCTGTTTGAGGGAATCCCTCAAACACAGGGATTGCAGGATTAGTATTTCAACCAACTCCCTTGGGAAATTAGAGAAAATTCCTGAAATACTCATGTAGACACTCAGATTATTTCTTGATAGGCTAAGAGAAAACCAGCTTCCTCTTGCCAAGGTTTTTCAATAAAACTTCAAGCAAAAGATGGGGTAAATCTGAAGCCAGAGATGCCACCTTGTCACGTTTATATGTTTACAACATTGAGCAGAATATTGTGCCAGATCCTTTTTTCATTTATTTATCCCTCGTGTTACTGCACCAGTTTTCAGAGAGGTTGAATTTTAAAACAGCACAGAATAGCTGTATTTAAACCTACCTATTTTTGGATAGTAATAATGAGTCTTCTGAGACATTGAAGATTCAGAAATTCAGGCCAAGCACTCAGGGATCTGCTCAGTTCCCAACCACTCTTCCTCACTGATGGGCAGCATTTAGGTACTTCCAGAAAAGGCTACTTGAGTAAGGAAATGAGACCTGAGATTAGGGAGAGCACTGTTAAATGCCAGCACCAAAAGGGAGCAGGAAATCCCAAAGTAAAGATCAGGCTTCCAACTTTCCAAGTTTGAAAGGACAGGGATTATTTAGTGCAGAGATGGTGGGGAGGAACTCTGCTCACAGCCCTCATGGATGAAGACAACAGGAGAGGGAGGAAATAAACTGTTCTCTGTGTCTGCAACAGCTGGAAAAGTAAATGGAAAGGGTTAAATTGCAATAGCACAGGTTCAGTTATGAATTAGGGAACTCCCTAAAGGTAAAGATAATTCAACAGTGGAAGAGTCTGAACAGAGAAGCTGTGGCTGCCCAATCCCTGGAGGTGTCCAAGGCCAGGTTGGACAGGGTTTGGAGCCACCTGGGATGGTGGAAGGTGTCCCTGCCCATGGCAAGGGGTGGAATGGGATGGGCTTTAAGGTCCCTTCTAACCCAAGCCATTCCAGGATTCCCAGATTCTCTGATTCCATAATTTACATTTGTTTCCTGTCCAATTTAAGTAAGGCCACGTTTGCAAGGTAGTGATTCATACTCTTCTTTCCTATAACCCTTATTAATTTTAACAAAAATATCTATTTGTTCTTCCTCCCTCAAGCCCACCTTGCAATCTTCAGCAATTATTGCTCTTCTAAATGAGAAAAACATGAATATTTCCCTTTGCAATTAAAATACATTTCTGAGATTTGGAATTATTTTATTTCACTGTCTAGTTTCTTCCTTCTCCTCTGTCAAACACTAATTTATTTTTTTTTCCCCACTTCAGTCCTTTCTAACTTTTACTTGGAGAAACTGTATATTTTTTTATCCCAGATAATGTGCCAAGAAATGCCAGTATTCCTTGGGTAGTGGCCTTATTAATGATGGCATTTGGGCTCCCTAAATAACAAGTACCAGGCAGAGGAGCCAGCATTCAGGGTCTGCAAATCTGGTTAGTGCAGACCACATAAAAATAGCAACTTGTTTTTCTTTTTTCACACATTTCTTAGTGCCACAATGGTCACTGAATCCGAAAGTGTCATTTCTAAATGAACAGAAAGATGCACAGCGAAGCCTGGGGATGAAGAGAGTTCTCCCCACACATAATAGCTGTTAATGTAAAATTAAACTGAAGGGTGAGACAATGTTGCCTTAAATCCCATTACATAATAGGCAAATTCCAAGCAGGAATAGGGAATTTCCATTTGCAGCTCGCAGGAGTGAATTTTTGCCCACAGACCACGAGCATCGTCTGCTAAATCTCAGTATCTGTGATGTCCAGAGAGGCACAAGGGCGCAGGGGACCTGCACAGAAAGGGGCTGATCCCAAAATCCTGCCACCAAAGGCAGAGGTAACCACAGCAGCTCAAAGACAACTCAACAACTGCTCCAAAATAATGGAAAAAATGCAAAATAACGGAGGCAAAAGAGTGGTTTTCTGTAGGAGCCTGTTTACAAGTTGAGGGGTTTATTCCTTCAGCTGGATGATCTGTGTCACAAAGTTATTCTGGTCTATTTTTTAAGTCTTCCCATAAAGTAGTCCAAGAGTTCTTTGTAGTTGCTGCTGTACCCCTCTGACTGCACATTGAAGTTGCAGTGGCTGACATTTGCTGGTGACAGGCAGAACACAAATATATTTTTTTCATTCCATTACACAACATCTTCTGCAGCAGATGCCAGGCAAACTGCATGGAGTTTGCTGCATCCAGTACAGCCCTAGTACTGAAAATTCCATGTGGGAAGCTACAGCAGCATTCCATGCTATGTAAGTTCATGGAATGTACAACACACTCTAAATTCCTGAACGGCAGGTACTTCAAATTATTTAGGAAATTATATTTACCAGTAATTATTTTATTTGCCTGCACTGAGGCAGGACAGGGTACATTTCTCAGTTTTATTCCATTGCTTTCATTCAATAACTGCTTTTTAACTTTGAATTGTCAAGTCAATAGGATTCAGAAGAACTCCAAGTAAGCAAATCAATAACTATAAAATGGTGAATATCCCTTCTGTTCAGCTTGGGAAGTCTTCACACAGGTTTGGCTAAAAGGAGGACTTCCAAAATATCTGCACAATGTGCAGGTCAGAGCCAAGGGGGCTGTTTTCACTGGGGGCAGCTGAGGTTACTTCCCCCAGAAACACACACAGATTTCCTGGGAGAAACTGTCACCAGCCCCCAGACAAAGGACAAAGCGCAGCCCCTGCCAGGGAATAATGTGGCCACACACCTTGTTCAGTGCCTCACCTGCTGTGGAAGCTTCCAGAGCTCCACTGGCCTCTCCTGGCTCTGAGTCAGCTCCTCATTCCAATAAAAGACCTTGGCTTGCATCCCAAGGCAGTGGATTGAATCCACAGCCATCTCAAACACGGATTCTTCATCTGGGAGCTGCTGTGGCAGCCACATTCCTCTGGGATAAAGCAGTCCAGGAGGCCTTGGAAAGAGGATGGGGGAGCTGCAGACAAAGCATTTTCAGTCTGGGCTTACCCAGCCTGTGAAATATCCCTTTGGAGAACAGGTACATCCAAACCTCTGGAAAACACTGCAAACCCCTTCTGCTGATGTGCTTCACCTTGGTTGTGAAGGGAACATCCCGTTTGACTCCCAGCTCTGCTGTTTGTGTTGATTTTGTGCATGATACTCAATTAGCACCATGATTGTACCACAAGATCTAAAGATGGAATGCTTTTTTGGTGGAATGTTACTCCCACTAAAATGCACGCACACTTTGTGTTTCTCTCCCTCTACTCCTCTCTCGTGTGGATGAATGAAAACAATGTCAAACTCCCACTCTGGGAACAAAACAATAACAGCCATGAAATGTTGTGACTAATCCAGACCCAGGAGATTTTCCCTTGCTCCAAGGAACCTTTGGGAGCCTGGCTTATCTCCCCTGCCAGAACTCAGCCGCCACATCCCACCTGCCATAAAATCTTCCAATCTCAGCACTCCCTCTCTTCTGAGTCCTCCCAGGGCTCCCACAGGAGGATCAGGGTCCATCTGCAGTCATTCTTCTCTCTGTAACGTCTTGACCAAAAATAACAGATGCCCATGAAGTTTCTCCCTCATAAAAACTTTTTGATCGCAGCTCTGCACACTCTCCCTGTTCAAAAATTACTGCAGCACAGAGGCAAATAATATCTATTTCTAGAATAAAACCAAGCCTGGAGACTCTTCCACTCTCCAGCACATGAATAGCAGGGATGTCCTACCAAACTGTGCACGGAGCTATCACACAGATCTCTAAATTACTGCTTGTTTGAACTTACCTGAACCCTGTGTCAACTGAACTGACCTCAAAAACAAGCTACACAATGGTGTGAGTGCTCACACTGCTGAATCAGTGCTACAAAAGGGCTTTGTGTGGGTCCTATGTTGAGTGGTCATCCATTACATGGAAAAAAAATGCTTCTTCCCAACCAGATTTAATAGGATATAAAGCACTGGCGGTAGATTTTGTTTTACTCCAGCTCTGAATAAGCTTTTCCTGCAATAGCACAGCACATTTGTTATAATGCACTAATATGTTAAATAATTTAATCTGATCAAACAGGTAAATAAATGCATAGAGCTCTATCTCTGTTCAGTTGTGCACAGTCACTGTTCCATGAAAAGCAGACACTTGCAATGGGAATCCCCACAGCAATTATCCACTAAAACTATTTAACATTTATCACCACGTCTCTCTCATTAACATGATTTGTTTCAGCAGCACGTCCTTTGCTGAACATCCAGGTACAGCTGCCTGTGACACTTTGTGCCTCTGAACAGGCTCAGGGTGGGGTCTGAGGGAACTGAGGGTGAAATTAGGCTGAGAAAGAAGGTTCAATTTTCCTTTGGATCCTCCTTTTTCCACACATATTGAGGTGCTGCAACCCTTTTGCTTTACACCCTCTGGAATCTGTAAATCCAGAGGTACAGATTTTAAGGGACATACCTGCCTGCTCACGAGTCCTCTGGGGAAAGCTCTTTGAGAGGTGACAGGATTCCTGTGATGGAGGGGGACAAGGGGAAGAGAGAAAGGGAAATCATTCTGTGAGGGGACAGACAAAATAGGGGTGAGCAGATGTGCGGGAGAGGAGAAACAGCCATGAGGGGGACGTGAGGTGCCAAGAGGGAAATTTTGCTGGAGGGAAATGGGGAGTTTCAGAGGGGCCCAGTAAGTCAAGCCAAGAGAGTTGAGAGGGAAACTCAGGAGAACAGCACTGAGGGAGCAGCACTCGGTCCGGGCTAAGGGTGGCGGGATGTGAAGGGCTGAGGGAGCAGCCATTGCATGAGGGTGAGACCGTGGGGCAGTGCCAGGGGAGTGAGGTGAGGCCCTGAGGGGAGCGTCCCTCGCTGCGGGACAAGCGAGGGGCTGAGGGGAGCAATCCCTGAGGGATGAGGCAAGGCACCTGCTGCGGGTGATCCTCTCCCCACGCTGTGGGCGATCCGCTCTCCCTGGAGCGGGTGAGGTGCTGAGGTGCGATATGAGCGGGGTGAAGCCCTGAGGGGAGCGCTCCCGTTGCGGGTGCAGCGCTGCGCCCGATGCAGGTGTCCCGCTCTTCCCGGTGCGGTTGCTACACTCCCTGCGGTGCGGACGAGGCGCGGTGCCCGGTGCGGGTGAAGCACCGAGCGGAGCACACGCGGTGCCCGGTGCGGGTGAAGCACCGAGCGGAGCAAACGCGGTATAAGCGAGGCGCTGCCGGCGGCGCCGACGGTGCGGGCGGAGCGGCGGGAGNACCGACTCGGCGCAGTGGCTGTCGGTGAAGGAGGAGACCATCTTCCTGCACGACGGGCTGATCCGGGTCACCGACCTGGCCGAGCTGCCCAGCGAGATCATTGGGGTGGCCGAGCCCGGCGACACCGAGCTGGAGGTGAGGCGGCCCCTCGAGCTGACGGGAGAGACGGGGCAGAGCCCGGGGGTGAGGGGGAGGATGCCCTCGGGAGAGGGGCACGGAGGCAGTGGAGGCCTGAGGCGAGGAGGACGGGGGGATGGGAGATGGGGGTGCAGGGAGGATGACTAGGGGAGGATGGGGGGGCCGGGATGGAGGATGCTGGATGCGGATGCCGGGTGAGGGATCTGGAGTCCAGAGCCAGCCGGTGTCGAGGCGTTCTGCTTGTCTTGAGTCAGTCTAATTTATTTCGGATTATAATGTAAGTGGAGCTGGGCAGGAGGATGATGAGGTGCTGATGTAAATGGAGGGTGAAGTATTAGTGCATCCTCCTTGTTTTGGAACCATAAGGTTTGAAAATCAGAGCCGCACTCAGGGATTTCCGCGTGGCCTTTGGCCCGTTTATTTTTCTTGAAGGTTTTGTGTCTTCTTGCTGTTACTTTTAGACGGTTTGTAATTCACCAGCCTTACAACGACATGCTCAGGGGTGCCTGGGTGTTTTACTCAGCTGTTGACAGTGATCGTTATTAAGGAGCCAGGAGGGCAGCCCAGATTTTCATCCCAGCTTTTTACCTTCCCAGAGCTGCCTGTGGTGTTTGTTGGCTGCAGGCAGGCGGTGCAGCTGTTTTATCTTAGGAGGAGCTGCTGAAGGACTGAATGTCACGGATTATAGGTTGCATCTATTTTGTAGACTGCAATTTTTATTTTTTTTTCCCCCCTGTGTGCCTCCCTTCTCCTCTTTCACCCCACCCTCCTCCCCAGCAATGTGGCTTGCAATGACACAGGGGCTTTGTCACCGGAGCTGAGCGGTGGGAGCAAACAGGGGACAGTCCAGCCGGAGCTTTTTCTCCGGGCTCTGTTTGATCCCAGGCATTTTAAGCCAAAAAACCCCTTTCAGTAAGGCCTTAGCTGCTGTCTGGGGTGTTGCTGAGAAGAGCCCAAGAGCATTCCTGACAACATCGTTGTTCATCGGGTGACGTGGAATCTTTATGGGCTTTGGGGAAACTTCCCCCAGCCTTATCTAAGGAAAGATATTTTCTGCTGAACGTGCGTTTTCCGCCCTATGTGTTGGGACACTGGGGAATGGCATGGGAAAAATCTGCTGCTCCCATGAAATGGATGTTGGCAAATATCACATGAACAGGAAAAGGGAGATTTTTAAGGTGGCCGACTTATCTCTGTGTGTATAAACATGGAATGATTCTCCCTTGTGATCAGAGTTGCTCTGGCATTCTGTGCAGCTTGGATTCAAGAAAATATTTTGATTCCATGGCATAGTTCTAGAAGCAGCATTGAGTTTAAAAACTGTGCTAGAAAAATAATATGCTCCCACAGCATTTTTCATGTTATATCATTAGAAAGGAGGATATCCTTTAAAAAACAAACAAGACCTTATTTTAAGATCTTGCCAGCCAGGCCAGAAGTGTGTTCCAGACTGAAACTTGACACACAGCTTCACTTGACAAACACTTCAGCTCTGGAGAATTTTTTATTAGTGTTAGGAATGTTCTGAAACTCCAGTTCTTTAGGAGAGATAGGAGTGGAATTGGTGCTACTGTGTTTTGTGGTTTATGACATTTATTATAACGAGTGTTGCAGCAATCCAGTGCCACTGATTCACATAATTTTTTCTGCTCCAGAGATTCTTTTCCTGTTCATGTTTGCAGTGCAAAACTTTTAAATAAATAATTAAATATGACTTTTTGCTGTGGTGCTTATTTTTGATAAGTACTGATTTTGATTTATTTTGATCTTTATTCCAAGTCATGGCTTATTAAAGCCTTTTATTTCCATCCACTGATAGAATTGATGATCACAGGCGATCCATTTAATTTTTAGATATCTGCAAATTGGTTTAGAGTTTTGTATGGAGGGGGAAGGGTTTTAAAAAAATGAAGATTCACATTGTGCAGATGTTAAATATTTAGCTCCTAACTTTTCTCTGCCTTTTTTTAATGCTGTTTTTATTTAAATAAGGACTACTTTGGTGATGTGGAATGGCTTTGAGGAGCCATTTTGTGGAAATAGGTGCACACATCTGATTGAAGCGTGGCCATGCAATCGACTGCTACACAAGAGCTCATTTACCCTCTTTCTACTCCTACTTGCAGTGTAATAAATATCTTTGAAAATGGTCCAAACAGAAATCTCTTGGGATGTGCTATTGGCCAAGGGTAGGAGATGCTGCAGCTGCTGCTTTGATTAGGAAACTTCTTTAATTCACTTCTTGTGCTTCATCAGTGGTGGTCAGAAGCCTGGCTGAATTTCTGAGCTGAAGTGCTTAATTAAAAATGCATAATGTTTAATACTTTAATGGACATTTTTTTGGGTGGAGAAGTATCATTCTGGTCTGTTTTGCTTAAATATCCCTTTAAAGAGCATATTGGTGACTAATGTCAGTGTGTTTGGATGTGTTTCCTTTGTCCTTCTGTTCAAAGGTTCTGTCTATTTATAAAAAGAAAAGCAGAGGAAAAAATGTTACAGTGCTGATGTTATGCCAAGAAAGGCTTATGAAAACTCATTATTTTGTTATTTTGACTCCCATGCAGCTTTGTTTTTATCTTTTTGTGTATTTGTATGCACTTTTATTTGTACATATATATATTTTAATGGTATGTTACAGGATCCTGATATTCTCTTTCAACTTGTTCTAGGAGTATGTTGAGTTTTAAAGGGTGTGGAGGTGTTTGCTCTGTTTTTATTTTTTCTGTGCTGATGTGTGCCAACTTCTTTTCAGCATATTTACCAAAAATTGGGGATTTTTCTTTTTTCTTTTTTCTTTTTTTTTAACTTGATAGAATTTTGTAATGATATGCATGAACCAGATGCTCCTGGTGTGGGTTTCCTGCTAAAACCCTCTATTTAGGAGAGACCTGGATTAGTGATTACAGAAGCCTTTGGACCTTTATTTTAAAACCTTTCACACAGAGAAATCTTTGAAAGAGCAAAGTCTTCTCCTTCTTGGAGACAACCCTGAGTGACAGGGCTGGAGGTGTTGCCATGACATTTTGTTTGGTCAGTGCCCACCCAGGAGGGACATTCAGTGCAGGAAGAGCTGTTCCTTCATGTGCCCCAAAGGGAACTGCAGCACTTCCAGAATCTTCCCAGCCAAGCATCTTCCCTGGAGTCTGGAACACCGGGAGCATGTTAGACAAACCCTGACATTTGTCTAAAGGAGGGAAGGTCCCTTAAACCAGGGAGATTTGATCTGCTGGCTCTGCAGAGTCACCACAGAATCCCAGAATGATTTGGGATAGAAGGGACCTTAAAGATCATCCAGAATCCCCCTCCTGCCATGGGCAGGGAACCTTCCTCTGATTTTACCATGGAGCTGGGAGTGCAGCTCCTCTCTCAGTAGCTGTTGGGGTCATGTCTCATCTGATGTTTGGACTCTTTAAGTTCTGTTCTGTAGGACAGTGAGGTGCCACTGGGCAGGTGTGGCTCTGCACTGAAAATGGTTACCTTTAATCAAGTGGAAGGTAAAAAAGTAATTAAAAAGAAACAAATAAGGAAAAAGTGGTGGCCTTTCCTCTTTGCCTCATTGTGGCCTGGGCTGGCCCTCCACAGCGAGGTTGAAGAGCTGAAGTCCAGTGCTCCTTTCTCAGCATGTGCCAGTCCTGTGACCGACTTGTGTTTGCCATGAAATGATTGAGACTGGAAGGTTTCTGCTTAAATTTGTAGTTTTCACCCTTTTTCCTCCTGGCCCAGGGAAAACATTTTGTCACTTTTCCCTGATTGCTGAAGGAGAGAGCAGTTCCCTGCAATTATCTGGGTCAGTGCTTCCCAAACCTTTCTGCTTGTGACCTTACTGCCATCTACAAGCGTCACCTCTGTCATGCTGAAAGTCTCTAATGCCACCATCAACAATTGACTCCTTCCTAAGTGGGTGACCTTTCCTGGGGTTGTGACCTCTGACTTGAAAACTGCTGATCCAGGCGTGTGGCAGGCTTGGAACACCCTCATCCTGCCTGTGCATCCCCTTCCAGTGCTCTGGGGCTCCTCTGCCAGCACTTAGAATTTATTAAACTTCTCTAATATGGACCACTGTGCCTCTGACTTTTGCTTTTTGAAATCGTATTTTAGGTAACCTTGTAGAGAAACATTAGGAAACTTCTCAAGGATGATTTTGCAAATCTGTTTCCCAAATATAGATCTTGTTACCAGTTGAAGCTGATTAATTCAGTGATCTGCGCTCTTAGATGTTTAAATTACAAAGATTTTTCTTTACCTTTAGTAGCCATTTTCACCTACTACTTGAGTAAGAACCAAAGAAATATTTTGATGAACAAAGAAACAACACTTTGTAGCATTTTATTTATTTACAGCTTGCTTGTTCTCTGTAATTCATCTCAGATAGAAAGGTTATTTCATAAATTTGTATCATTACAAAAATTATTTGGGATAAAGTTGTAAATGGTGATGCCTGTTTCTGAGCAATCTGAGATTTCCAATGCTTTCACAGAAGAAAATAGTTTCTGCTTTTAGCTGAGTAGTTAAAAACCTGCAG